GATTGCATTTTACGGCGACGTAAACAGAGCCGAAAGTTTTAATACGTTTGCTCTTCCAGGAGCAACCGCAAAGCTTTTATCGATAGCACATTACTATCGATAACGCAGGTATGAACGTAACTACGGACAGTTAGTTGTAAATCATAACTATATATCGATAAATGGGACTTATAAAAAAATAACGGTGTTATCGATAACGATAAATGAAATCTGATATCGATTGGTTGCAGTAGCAGTTAATAAAATCTAATGTGTTATCGATAAGAGAAAAATCCCAAAAATAAGTGTGATAAATCTATCGATAATTATAGCGGCTTATCGATATTACACTTGTTATCGATATTCACAGTCCGACGAAGCTCTCTAATAATAGATTCAACCTGTCCATCAGTAAAGCTAGTTATCGTTAACTAAACACTGCCCTTACCAGTTATCGAGAAGATTCGATATATATATCGACTCAAGTGCTAGGCTCTACTTTATTTGATATATAAAGACTGTGGCCAACGATTCAAGTCCATCGACTTCATAGAGTCAGAGTCTGAGTCTTGTGGCTCTGCGGTTCGCTTGGCCCGCTGTGGCGACGAGCAGGCGGCGCACGGGTGGGGTGGGGCATCTACACAGGCTCTACAGCGGGCAGACAGCATTGACAATCATTTTACACTTGGCAGGATATTATGTAAATTGCTTTTCATATTTGTGCAACATTTAAATTTACACCCAGCGCAAAGAGAGCGAGTGAAAGAGAGAGAGCGAGAGAGAGTGAGGTGGCTTGGGTGGTGCGACAGTAAGTAAATCACAGCAGCAGCCGCTGCTGCGGTGGTTGCTGGCGCTGCTGTTGGTGTTGGTGTTGATGTCAAAGTAAAATGTAAAGGCCTAACAGGCAGACATCATTATAATGGCAGACAGCGCCAATGGCTGATTGAGTGAAAGAGTGACAAACTGAACGAGCGACAGAGACAGAGCGAATGGGCGAGTGGAGACGATGGAACAGATAGTGACAGGCAATGGCAATGGGCACAGTGGGGGGGCAAGAGAGGGGACGGAGGGGTATGGCAGAGGCACAGAATTGTCGCTGAGCGCTGAGATGCGTCTACGGGGAAAAATTAACGATGCGTAAAAAGTCCTCACTGTGGTTTTTATTTATATGAATGTCTCACTCTCTCTCTCTCTCTCTCTCTGGGTGTATGTGTGTGTGTGTAAGCGTGTAACTCGATATGTGTGTGTGTGTGTGTGTGCGTGCGAATTTTTTGAGTCTTGGCGGAATTATTTGATAGCCCCAGTGAAATGAAATTGCAATGTGTCAGTTTTAATGGCGCTGCAATAGCTCCCAGCGCTTAATATACAAAATAAATCTGTGTGTGTGTGCTCGCATGTGTGTGTGCCGTAAAATGCACAAAATGAAATGTTAAAATCCTGACAGAAGCCGCCTGGGACAGTAATGCATAGACAACGGCCATTGAGTGCTAAGTACAGTTTAACAAACACATAAAGAAGAGCAAAACAAACAACGATAACGGCAAGTGGTGAATAGCGAGGAGTAACGAATAGAGAGAGTAACGAGGAGCGAGCTGTAAAGAATAGAGAGACTAAGTAGAGTAGAGAAAGTAACGAGTAGCGAAGAGTAACGAATAGAGGGAGTAACGAGTACAAAGGAGTAACGAGTAGCATAAAGTAACGAATAGAGAGACTAAGAAAAGTAGAGAAAGCAACGAGTAGCGAAGAGTAACGAATAGAGCGAATAACGAGCTGATGGAGCATCGAGTAAAGCAAGCAGCGAGGTGAACGAGTAGAAACAGTAACGAGTGAGGCAAATACCGTATAGAACGAGTCTTGAATAACGAAAAAGAGAGAGTAGAAGGGGGAATAACGAGCTAAAATAATAAATTCATTCGCTACGTGAAGTAAAGCAATGAAACAACGAGTTGACAGACTAACGAGTAGACCAAGCAACAAATTTACGGAGTAGTAAATAGAGCGGGTAGCAAGCGGAAGAAATAACGAGTAGAGACATGGATGAATGCATCAAAGTGATGAACAATAACGAACGAGGTTAAAATCGATAACAAGTAACGAATAACCAGTAGAGCGAGAGGTTCAAGGACTGGTAATGGGAAGAGAGAATAACAAGCAACTATCAACAGATAAATACAAAGACACTTGAAAATAACGAGTGCAAATCATTAACAGTCGATAAATACTCTCATTACTCATTGTTCTTTAATCAGTGCTCATTATGCATTCGCCAATAAAACTACGCCAAAGGAGCAACAAGTGACGAGAAAGAAAAGTCTAAGAGTGACGAGTGGATGCGATTTAAATACCACAGCGCATTACGAGAGGCCGAGAATCGGCTGTAAATCAATATTTAAACAGTTGCCAGAGCAAGTTGCTTCAGCTGCAACGAGTAGCTTAAAGGGGGGCCAAAGAGAATAAAAAAGCAGATGGTGGAGTCAGCAGCAGAGAAAGAGAGGAGAACGGGGGTGGGGTAGTGGCCAAGTGAAATGCTTGCAATTAAGTTCAAGGAATAAATGCCAAAGGCAAAAGGAAATGAAGTTGTCAGCAGACTGAAAAGCGAATGCAAATAAATATTAAAACAGTCGGTAGAGAATTGAAACGAAGTCAAACTTAATTAAGAAGTCCCATGAAAAAGACGAGAGGCCAGATAAATCAATCAAATTTCGCCAACCAACCGGCAACAGCAACGCGTTGCCAAGGAAATTGAGTTATAAACATGCGACGATTAAACTGACTCCAGCTCCAGCTCCAGCTGCTCCATATCAAAGCAACCCGATTCAATTGGTATTGATACATTGATATAAAATAAAGAGACGAGAGAAATCCTGACAGATAATGCTATTGATTCAATTGAATATGTATATGTATAAATGCGCATGCATATGTATGTGTGTGGGCATAGCAATCAGACTTTTTGTTGAATAAACTTTAGCGGAAATCAGTCTGCTCGCATTATTTAACTGTAAAGAGTTAAGTCTGACATGTATATTTAATAAACCCTCTGCAATGAGAATTTGCCTAAATAAATACTCTTTAGTATTTATTTATATATATGTATTTATCATAGCTCGCGAATAACTATCAACCGATGCCTTCTCTCTCTCACTCACACTCTGCGAGAAAGCTCAGAGAGCACGCTTGAATGATATTCGCAGTGTATTTAACAGTGCGCAGAGAGCAACCAATGGCAACAGTTCTTTTACGAGCTCGTTAGCGATCGGCTAGCGATCGTTCTTAGTTTGCGTTGCTTTGCTGCACTCTGATTGGTTCGTTTGGAGCCTTTTGTGCATGATTGAGTATGTATGCGAGAGCCTGCATGTGTGTGCGACTGTAAAGAAAGAGCATTTGCATTGACTATTGCAGGCCTGCTCGCTTACAGAGTCTCAGTATGCGAACGTTAAGCGTGCTATCCCTCTCCAACCAATGTTTGCTAATGAAGCGACGCATGCTTAGCGCAACTCAAGGCGCTCAACAGAAAACAAAAACGAAAAGAACCGAAGTCTGTTGCTCAGAGCGAGCGAGAGCGAGTGAGCATGATATTTTTCGGCTGCGTTTGCAAATGGAGCGTAACGAATGAAACGAACAACAGTTAAATATTGACAAACTACGATTTGTATAATTTTTGCTTTTTTTGTAATTAATCTATTTTGTAATCATTCGATATTTTTATGATATTGTATAATTACGTAAATAATTTTTTAGTATTTTTTTTATTTATTTATGCAAATATTAGATATATTTTGGTTTACTATATATAAATAATATTTTTGTTATTAATAGTTTCGTACTCTAACTTTAGAACTTTCATTTATTTATTGGTTATATATTTTTATTGCATTTATATAATTTGTAAAGCGTTTTATAGTCATCATATTTTTATGTAATTCGCATTTTGACATTTTTAAATTTAATTAATTATTTATAGGCTGTATTTGCCTGAAATTTTTAGCTTTAAGCTTTTCGTATCTGTTCTCTGGTTTTAATTTAGCTTAAAGTCCTGTTTACAGGACAAAGCCAATTATGTTGGAAAAATTCCACAGAATTTGCATAATGTCAACAGTGCAGGGCTAACAAACACACACACACACACACACACACACACAGAGACTCAGACACACTTGCATCAAGCTGAAATCTCGAATTGAAATTCTGTGGCCAAATCTCTGTCGTGTGTGTGTGTGTGTGCGCGTGTGCTTGTGTGTGTATTTTGGCCAAGTTAAGCATTTGCTTTTAATTAACTTGAATGCTGTACTCACAAAAAGCCAGCAGCAGGTGTTGCTGTAAGGGGCGTGCATTAAGTGGGCGTCACTGGACTCAACTCACCTGCAAAGATACCGAAAAGAGCGAAAAGAGAGAGGAAAATGTGTTAGAAAATATGCAGACAAGTTAAATTATATTATATGAATATCGGCTTATGGCACATGGTCGTCTGGTCAGTCTGGTCAGTATTATACGGGCGATTCATAATGGGGACAACGACTGGCCCCCCACTCACGCCTTCACTCACCCCCTCTATCTGCTACCTTTCCCGCTTATGCTGTCACCGTAAATGTAGTTATAAAATTCATATCAAAGTGAGCTCACAAGCCAAAATCCCAAAATCAGCTTCACACACACACACACACACACACACTCTTGCTCTCTCTGTGTGTGTGTGTGTGTGTGTGAAATGTATTTGCCTATTTACAGCCTATTGCACATTTTGATGGCTCGTTAAGGTGGAATGGGGGCGGAGGGGCTGGGCTATGTGAGTGTGTGTGTGTGTGTGTGTGTGTGTGTGTGTGTGAGGGTAGTAAAAAAAACTTAGTCAAGCGCAAACCAGAAACTAAATTGAATTTTCTGCAGGACGAAATATGAGACACAGATTAAGATTGAAGCCCAGACTCTCTCTCTCTCTCTCACTCTCCTTCTCTGCCTCTCTTTTGCACTATCTCTTTTCTTCTTTTTTTCACTCCCTCGCTGCTTCTCTGCTTTCCACTTACCGAGAACGCTTTGAGAAATACCAAACACTGTATGATGCCCTCCATGGTGTCGCCGGTCAAGCAAAATGTCCCGGTCAGATGGCGTCCCTTGCGTCCCACTGTGGCTGCGGCCAGCGAGGCGTGGACCAGGGCGCGCTGCTGCTGCTGCTGCTGCTGGCCGGCGATGCCGACGACGCCCTTGACGCCAGCAGCGGCGCTGGCAGCGGCAGCGGCGGCCGTTGCCACCACACCGCTGGTCAGCATGCGGGGCAGTGGGGCGGCTCGCATTAGACGCTCCAGCGAGTCCATCTCTAGTCTCTGTGTGTGCGTGTGTGTGTGTGTGTGTGTGTGGGTCTGTCTGTCTATGCTGATTGCTATCGATGGGTTATCGATTAGCCGTTCACAATTTGCGATTAACTGTTATCGATTATCGATTGTTGATTGTTGTTTTCTTTCTTTTTTACTGTTGCTTTGCTGATTTTTTTTTTTTTTTTTTTTTTTTTTTCTTTTTTTTTTTCGTATGTTTTTTTTTTTTTTTTGTTTTTTTTTGTTTTTTTTTTTTTTTTTTTTGCTTTATTCGTATTATTTTTCGTACGCTTTTATTTGTTTTTTCTCATTGTTGGTATTTTTATATTACACTAGTACTTTTTTCGGTATTTTCTTTTCGTTTTTGTTTGTTTGTTTGTTGTAGACTTTGTTGTATTTATGTTTTGTTTTTATTGTTGTTGGTCTTTACAAGTTTTTGATTGATTGCTGCTCACACATTTGTTCAACTGCAAAATGCGTGTTGGGAAATTCGTTTTCATTTAGTATATTCTCTTTGATTGAATTGGTGGTATTTATTTTTCGATAATTCCTCATTAGAATTTGCCAACGGAACGAATCGAGAACTCAAATCAAACCGAGAGTAAAGAAAAATCTACAACTGTCTGGCCGAATCGACGGCCAGTGAGAAACTGCACCAGTTCCAGTTCCAGTTCCCGTTCCCGTTCCCGTTCCAGTTTCAGTTTCAGTTTCAGCGAAACAAAGTGAAATGAAACCAAGACGAAACTGGAACACGGCTAATGCGACCCAAAAATAAAAAAAAAATTTAAAAAAAAAAGCAAAAGAAAACAGTCAAGAAATTGTCATTATGATGACTTCGTACCAAAAGGAAACCGAAGGACAGACAGCGAGACAGACAGAACAGATAGAGATGGCTATAGCGGCTCTCTCCCTCTCTCTCTCTCTCTCTCTTCTTCTCGCTGGCAGTAACTCTTCTGCTCCGCTGACTGGGGACTAATAAAATGCAAGTTAAATGTTTGTTAAAAATTTATTGCCAAGGACTGAGCGCAGATATGTTCAAAGGCAGCCAAAAGACAGAGAAAGAGACAGATAGAGTGAGATAGAGAGAGCGAGAGGGGGAAAGAGGGAACGAGAGATATGAGGAAATGGAGAGTAGAGCGAATGTAAACTGAAATCTTTTGGCAGTTCACCAGGCGACAAAAATGTAAGCTTCAGACTCTGTGAGGATAATACAAGATAAGCCTGCAAATTTGCTAAAATTTCGGAATATTCTCTTACGTTACGGGCTTACGGGCATATTAAAACTTTTAGCCGGCAATTTAAAATATAAATGTATAAAAATGTATTATAGCGAATTTTAGATTGCGGTAAACCTCAAGTTTCAGACGATAAAAATAAAGCCCTGTTGTTCTGCTGAAAACATAAATATCGATAGCATGCACATCGGTTATCGATAGTTTTAACTATTGTGCTTTACCCTCCAATTTAGAATATTAAATTAAGAACTCACTACAGGATGATGATTCGAAAAAGTTCTGTGGCAATGCTGAGCCGTTTATTATCGATAACATGCACATAAGTTATCGATAGTTTTAGCTATAGTACTTTATCCTCTTTTATATATTAGATTACGGGATATTGATTGAAAATAGCTCTATTACTATGCTGAACTGTTTATTATCGATAGCACTATATCGAACTATCGATAGTTTTATTATCGATAGTGCTAGCTGGCACTCAAATTCAGTCCATAAAAATCTTCATTTTGTCACTTGTGTCGCCTGCCGTCGGCTGCTGTATGTGTGTGTGTGTGTGTGCTGGTGTGCATGTTGTCTGCGTTTACAGTTAAAGAAATATATGCATACTGTGAGACCCGCTTGACAGTCGTCAGCGCGTGGTCCAGTCTGCAGTCTATAGACCTTAGGATGCTCTGCTTTATGCACTGTTGCCCCAGTCTCACACACACGCACACACACACGCACACACACACACACCCTCCCCTCGTCTCTCTTCCTCTGTCTTCATGTTGTGCTCCGCGCTTCATCTTCGGTCCGAGCTGTTGGCTCTTCCGCTTCCATACGCCTGATGCTTCAAGCGTAATTTATCTGCTAGCAAAGTGTGTGGCTGCGACTGTCAGCAGGACTCCGGGCTGAGCAGGAGTCGGCAGAGCAGAGTAGGGCAGGGCAGGGTAGGGCCAACAGCCAGCAAAATTTATGCAGGCCAACGTATGGCCAACAGTTGCCAACACACACACACACACACACGCACTCATTTCTTATTGAGAGAAAGCGAGGGCAGAGGCAGGGGCAGTGGGGTGGGGTAGTGAGATAGACTGTGTATTAACTGCAGCTAAATCAAAGTTTTGAACCAAGTTATGAATTATTTGCCATTGTGCAGCATGCGAAACATTTCTTTGTCGCTTTGTGTCCGGGACGAGCTCAGTCAGGAAACGACAACGGGGCAACCTTTAGCCCCAATTCAAGCCCCGCCCCTCCCTACCCGGACGCACCGCCATCCACTCGCACTCTGGTTTCCGGCGCCTGCGACGAGGCTATCCGGCGGATGGGCCTCTCCCTCAATACCTTTTGCTACCTGCACTGTCATTGTGGCCCGGGCCCGGGTGTGGCCTCGTCCGGCTCTGCCTTTCTACAACATTTTTGTGGGCCAAGTTAATTTGAACATAAACAACAACAACAACAACAACAACAGCTGGCTGTGGCTCCGCTTTTTTTCCGTAGGAGGAGCAGACTAACAAATTTGTATAAAAATAAATAACAAATAGCAAAAGAAAAAAAAATAGAGAGAGAGAAGCGAAATGAAAAGCCAAAAAAAAAATATGAAGAAGGTTTTCTCTCTTCTTCTTGCTCGCTCTTTTTTCTGTTGAGCTGAGATGATGCGGCATTTGACTTTCTGGGACAGCCGAGACACGTCAATTTCATAGACGACCCAAAAAAAAAAAAAAAAAAAAAAAAAAAAAAAAAAATTGAATAAAAAAATTATTGTTGGGTTCAACAACAACAACAAAAAATTAAATGAAGCACAAATTAAGTGAAAATAATAAACCCAACGGCAAGCAAAACCCCAAACACACACACACACACATACACACACAGAGAAATAGAGAAAGGCAGCTGGCCAAAAAAGGGCGTGACGCTGCTTCAAGAAAATGAAGCACTAAAGCTAATTAAAGCTTGACCGTGCGCACAGTGGGGCAAGGACAGCGAGTTGGCCAAGAGAAATGCCAAGAGGCTGACTGACTGCAGACATGACTAGGCTACAATGTGACCAAATATTTATATAGAAAGTATATCGTTATCGGTCTTAATATCGATTCGATTTGTGGCGATATTTTGAATAAATATGTGCAGGAATTTGCTATTGATGACACACGGCTTATCACAAGACAATTTGCATGCACTTATCGATAGCTATTCAACGATCGATAACATAACGATAAAACGCGTCGATAGATACTTTAACTTTCGTTATGATCTATCGAGGCAGCTTTATCGACTGAGTCAGCATGCATAATATGATCTAAAACATCGCTTAATAATCGATTTTTCAAAATATAGAAACTTAAATTGAAATCGATAACAATCATTTGCTCAGTATATAATGAATTCTGGACATATTTGTATAGACATATATCAATATATGTCATCTTTATATGTCATACATCAATTTCACCTACTATCGATAAACGATAGCAAAAGGCAGTTCGAAAGAGATAGTTAAGAAGCACATTCCACCCTAATGAACACAGAGAGCAGCAGAGAACAAGCCCTCAAGCTGTCTCTCTCTCTCTCTCTCTCTCTCTCTCTCACTCTCTCTCTCCCTCTCTTGTGAAGAACTGGAAAACTTATCGGACACCGGCTCGAGTGGCGCTTGCACTGTGCGTGCGTGTGTGTGTGGGATTGGGAAGGTCTAGGCTAGGGTTACGGCTTGTGGGGTCATGTGTCTTTGGTCAAGGCTCGAGTGCTTAGAATCCCTGCAAATGAATGGCTGCGCATTGATCTAATGAGCTGTATTTACATTTCAAAGCAGCTGTAGCAGCAGCAGCAGCTGAAACGGGAGCAGCTGAAAGAGAATGTGAGTTGTAGAGCTGAAGTATTCGAGAATTGCGTGTGTGTGTGTGTGTGTGTGTGTGTGTGTGAGGGTGCGAGGCTGTGCAGAGGAAACCGAGGAACATTGGACAAGGGGACGATTGCATGCGATTTGTTTTATGGCCGGGCATGCACATTAAACGCGCAGTTAATCACACGCAATGGGCGTGGCCAGGCGCCTAGGCTCAGGGCAGAGCGTACGCGGCGACAAATCAAATTGATTTTGCACTGCGCTTAATACACTGCACAAGCTGGGGCATGATGGCTGCGACAGTCGAAGCGGTGAGTGTTGGAAAGCGCCCAAAGCTGGAAATGTTCTCTGAGCAGTAAGTGTTGCATAATGCGATGATTTCCAAAAAGTTATCAAAGTTTCGCAATCCCAAAATGTTAATATAATAATAATTTGAGTGTTGGCTAACGCTAGAGGCTTGAAATTTCATTTGACTGTGTTAAGTGTTGGCTAATGCTGTAATTTAGTTACGTTATGCATGAATTGATAGCTCTAGAGCCGCCATCTAGAAATCGAGTATTGATTAACGCATTAACATCGAGATGTTCTCGGCGTAGTGTTGGCTAATGCTATAATCCAGAAATCATCTAGGAGAATTGAAGTGCGTTGAAGCTGCCCATTGGCTAACGCTGTTATTTAGTTATGTTATGCTGGTATTCAGTGTTGGGTAACGGTAGAATTTGTCTCTGAGAGTTGAGTGCTGGTTAACACTAAGATATCTAAATAGTTTTTGAGAATTGAGTGTTGAGTAATGTAATATTCTAGAAATATTATCTAAAAACTTAGTGTTGGCAAGTGACATTTTTAATCAGGCATTTAGTGTTGTATAACGCTTTAATTTAGAAATATTTCTTAGCGGGAAGAAGAATCTTTCTCAACGACTTGCAGTTAAGTCTAAAATGAACTATTTTAAACTGTCTAAGAATTCAGTGTTGGTCAATGCCATAATTCAGACCTTTTGAACAGCAATACTGCTCCAAGGTCCACTCACATAGATAAACGAGAGCTACCCGCTCAGCTTGGGCTAACTTTGAGTGCAATTGCTTGCCTTTGCTGAAATGCCTGCCATTTGCTAGGG